GGGACTTGAAGTCCAAATGTCTTAAACTTGCCAAGTTTGAGAAACGCTGATCTGGAGCAAGCCGTGTGCGATCACTTGCTTGCCTAATCTGGCAGGAGAAGAGCAAAGCGTAGAGCGCAGGACTCCGATACATGGATTTAAGTCACAGAATCAATTCGCATGTGAGAAAACACATCCCAACGGCAGGAGCCATTTGACAGTGGAAGCCGTTAACTGACAGATGGGGGGGGTTCTCTGTGCTAGATGTATTTTGGGGCTTTCCTTTGCATCGCTGAGCAGAGCAAAGGGGGTTGACTCGGTGGCCCCAGCACCCCCCCCAACTCCAGAGCTTTTCCTTTTTTCAAAGCATCTGTACGGGAATATCACAATGGCATTGGGGGAACCGAGGTCTGTGAGAACAATCAGGAGGGCTAGCTGCGTGGGAAGTTTTCAGTTCACAGGGAGATTGGTTGGATAAAATAAGCAGCCTTTCTGTAACGTAGTTATGTTCGGGATAACAACCCCCATCATCTCCAGCGATGGACTGTGTTGGAGTGGAAGAAGGGTGGTAACCCAGTTTCTCAAAAGGGTAGTAGATGGAGATGTGTGGGTCAAAGAAATCAGGGTTAAAAAGAATGCTGTAAATATACTGGGATAAGCTTCAGTGGTGGTTGTTATCCTGGCGTTTTGATATATAACTCAAGGCAGTGAACATATCTAATACTCCTGCCTCCTATTTTCCACACAACAACCCTGTGAGGTGGACTGGGTAGTTGGTGCAAAATGCAGAGGCCTAGGGGCTCACAACTGCTTGCAGGTGGGCACGTTATACCTATTTTGTGGGCTCTCCAATGGCTTTGTATCAGCTTCCCAGCACAATTTAAAGGTATGGTTTTAACCAATAAAGCCCTCTCTGGCTTGGCACCAGCTGACCTTCCGGATGGCATCTCTCCACTGGAACCAGCCAGGCTCTGGTCATGCTGGGGGAATCAGTGGGTTGTCCCCCATTTTGGGGAGTTTGCGGGGCCGAGGCCCGGAGGTAGTGTTTTTCCATCATCTGCAACAGCCTCCTGCAAGAAGGGCATTCAATTCTAAATATTGTCACCCTCCAGAAGTTTCTCAAAATGGAGATTTTCCAGAGGGTGTTTGGGGCAGATGCCCTTCGGAGATCAGGTTTGTTGATATTGACCGTGGATTTTATATAATAACATTCTCTTTGTTACCATTGTTTTTCTTTATGTTATCAGCCACCAGAAATCTGCGTAGGATTGCAGCAGGGTGTAAATGTGATATTTTGCAATTTAAATAAGTTGTAGAATGTATTAGAAAACAAAATAGTTAGCAGAGAACAACTAACACTGTGAAATGCATTTTGAGCCATAACTTCTCTCCCTTTTGAAAATGGATAGCAATGCAGGCAGAGAAGTAAATTCCTACTTATAAGCGTCCTTAATTATTTTAAATCTTGCATTGTCTGTCTCTTCATGTCTTCAGGCTGAAAACTGTTGTCTTACTATAATTGAGTGTGTGTGTGTGTGTGTGCGTGTGTGTGTGTTTGCTTATGTTCTCACATGATTCTTTTGCATTTTAGGCAATTTCGAAGGACTCCAGTTCCTTAGTATCAAAGCTGCAGTCCCTTGTTTTCAAAGGATTTAAACTCCTTTGCATCTTTTGCTTTGAAAGATAAACATTCTGAGCGCTGCAAAGTACTGTCGGAAACCCTTTTCATTCCTGCCTAAACACAGGAAAGGTAAAGCAGAGGAAAAAAAAAAAAGCAGAGAAATCTGAATTTCCATATAAGGGCTTCACTGCAAGGTGTTGTTTTTAATAGATAAAGATGGCAGATCAGTTTAAGAGGCTGCTGGAGGGAAGTCTGGAGAGGAGACACATGGGATACAGGCCGTGAATTTGTGACAGCACTGTGGACAGTGTCTTGGGGCCTGATTAGTAACCCAATTTCTTATATTTCTCTTGCTTTGGGTTAAGAGATAGGAAGAGTGGAGATGAGTGGACTTCCCCACCCACATGCAGTCCAGGGCTTGCATTTTTACACAGAAGTAGCACCAATGACATTACTTCCAAGCCAAGGTACACAAAATTGCACCAGTCTAAGATCAGCGCATATCTGTGGGGCAACTGTGAAGAGTTCAGCACTACTGCCCTGGCCTTCCTTTGCAAATCCCGCTGAGAAGCAGACAGCTCCCACTGTTGCCATCAGCTCTTCTGCCTCTTGTCCGTGGTCTTTCAGAGGCTGGCCACCAATATGCTTTTATTCTGACAAGCTCCTAAGGTTATCAAATGGAAAAGTAGACAAACTGGTCTGTCTGTCTGTCTGTCTGTCTGTCTG